ACCTCCAAGTGATAAGCTAGACATTGCCGCAATCTGAACAGCCTGCTAGCAACAATCTCCACAATTTTAAGCCGTACCAGGCGAACGCATAGCGAAAAACTTAAACTCAATTGAAACCAATCTCGCGCAGTTAAGATAAAGCGACAAGAAAATTAGGATAAGATGGAAAAGAACATCATCATTACAAAATAAAAATTGTCTTAAGCTCCCTTACAAGACCAATGAAATATCAAATGACGATAGAGGAAAAGGATCACTAAGCTGAACCGCCACCCGCTGCATGTGGCTTGTCTACGTCAACTCCAATGTTGCCCGTTGAAGGGGCGGAAAGTTCGGAGTTCACGTCAGCGTCGCCCCAAAATTCCTTGACGTCCTAGATCGCATTAGCATCCCAAACAACTCTGGGGTAATCATGATGAAACTAGTGACGGATTGAGGAAACAGTGTCCTTCAGCAACTTCTTATACTTTGCTTCATCTTCCTCCTTGAATTCGTCAGACTCAAGGAACCTAGCCTTGATGACCTCAACCGTGTTGAGCAGCTTATCTTAGTGGTTGTCCTCCATCAATGCCATTTCTTTTTTAACTTGTGAACTTCATCGCTCAAGCTTTTCTCACACTCGGCACCCTCCAAGGACTCTTTTCGGAAGTGCTCAGTAGCTTCCTTGCCCTGTTTCAGCTCCTCCCGCACAGCAGCCAACTCGGCATCCTTCTTGGCATCAACGACCTCGAGCTCCTTGCTTAGTTCCTCCTGAAACTTTTTCTTTGATCCCTCATGTCCCTCTTTAAGTTGGTCTTCAAGTTGAAGGATCTTGGTGTTGTGGTCGTCCAAGCCACTCAAAAGGCAATCGTTGTGCAACACCATTTGGTTTGTCCAAAATTGAGTCTGCAAGAATAGCCAAGTTAGAGGAAAGTAACCACAAGGTACTCAGATCATATAAATCATGCTTTATGCAGACAAGCAACATGCGGTTGCGCCGACCTAGTGTCTTGTGTCAGACTTGCGGACAAGAGTACCGGCAACCCGGGTGTAATCACTGGAGATATTAAACTCCTCAGAAATGATGTGCAAAGCGCGTTTGTCTGCATCATGGGACACGGTTGCATTGGAGGAAAATGCCACAGTCGCTGGAAGCTTTGTCATATTCTTCTTATTTTTATTTGTATAGGCAGCAAGGGGATCTAAAGAATTGTTGTCTACAAGGAAGCCTTTCATCCTTGATTGACTTCCAGAGGACCACTTATCCGTAAGAGTCGCAATCTCCAGTGACCGCTTCCCAGACCTGTGATTGGAACCCATCTCAGCAAACTTGAGCTCCCCGGAATGACTCACAACCAACTGTGTCTAAGCAGAAGGGAGAGGGATAGTAGCCCGAGTCTCTATCGGATCGATAGGAAGTGAAGCAGCTGCGGCCGCAGAGGACCCAGTGCTTGGCTTTGGCAGCCTTGACGTAGAAGCATACCATCGAATTCCTATAAAAACAACCCATAAGTAAATGCATGAGAGAACTTCGTAAAAATAACCAAGGAAGAATTAAGTGAGAGTGAAAGCGCCAAACTATATCCAACGCGTTATCATCATGCCTTTTAGGAGGAAGAAGAAATTGGACGGTTGAAATTATTCGTTTGAGGAAGTCTTTGAAGGGTGCAAGAGAGTCAAGGTTGGTGTTCCAATCCTCCTTATCGCAAATTACGAATCCATTCGGCGGCTTTACGTCACCAGAGTACCACTTCCAAGTAGGGCGGGCAAAGAAATATTCTTTAAACCATAGACAAACCCCTTGATAGTCTCTCTCCTGTAGTATGACCAGCATTTTTCTGAACCACGCATCGTATACAAGAGGTGAAAGGCATCAAACAAAGGCTCCACCTCCATTCTTTTACAACCCTAGCGTGCAGTTGAGATGCAGAAGCGTTTGAGTCAATATGGGGTCAAGTGGGAATTGAAGAACCATCCTGATATGCTCCAAATGAATATGAATCCACCCCCTTGGACAAGAACCGGATTGCCCGACCGAAGAAGGAGCGGCGTATTCCCACTAAGGAGGAAGACCGTGATTCTTTAATTGACGGAGGACTTGAAAAAGCTTATAGGCAGCTTCGAACGGTGGCCCCTGCTTGAAAACATGCGAGGGTATTTCTTCTCCCTCCCACATGTCCTCGTGCAAACGTACGCGGTATGTGTTGTCATCAACCGCCTCGAAGGGCGTAACAGGCGATCCCACAGAAATAGTAAGAGGGGAGTCGGCCGCAAATTCACCAAACTCTGTGTGGTTTCTGTGCGCTTCATTAGAGCCTTCCGACGACAGTGTGATCACGGGAACGTCATAAGAAGACTCACGGTCCATCTCATAAGAGTCAAAGTCCCGCAGGTTGTCGCCAACCGTCAAACACGCCCCATAAAATGCTAGAGAAGTTCCAGTATGGGTTAATGCATTCCCATCTAACCCTAAAAGGTCAAAGTTAGGACCGCATAGACTCTCGATCCCTATATCACCAAAATTGTCATAACCGCATAAAAGGACAATGTTCTCCAAATCACATTCTGTATCAGAGATACCAAAAGGTGAAAAACTTTCATGCATACCTTGGGCGGCTATTTTAGCCCCGACAGTAGGACCGCTAGATCCGCCACAAGTTTTAGAGGACAAGCGAGGAGTAGTTGTGCCGAAAATGGAAGTCCGAACGTTACCGGAAATGGTGGCGACGGGAGCATCACTCGACAAGTTCCTATTCTGGCTATTGCGCCGAGTGGTGTCCTGAGAATCGATCGCCATCTTCGCTTTTCGCCTCTTCCTCTTTGCTCGCTTATGAGCTCGTCGTAACCAAAAAAAAGTATGTGACTCATTTATGAGAAAGGAGCGGATGACTTTGAAGGTAAGAAGAAAGGGAGAATCTGGAGTAACGAGCAATTTTTGCTTCGGGTTGAGAAATTTCAGAGTAGAAGAGGGGAAGACACAATGAAAAAGATGAGTAATCTCCTTGTTTAATTAGAATCATAAAAGCAGGGCAATGCCGACGTGACGGTTCGATGACCTAGGAAAAAACCCTAGTCTACTAATTCAAGAAGCGGAAAGCTAAAAAGTTGGCCTCGATGACCGTTGGCATGGCTCGAAATTCAAATTTCGCCAAGTGGATGATGAAAGAGGAAAAAATGAAATGCCAAAATCGTGGGCGGCTGAAGTCAGTAGGGACCGCATCCCTTGGCGGGTCTTTTTAGTTTCTCAAGCAGTCAGGGGCAAGGTATGGAGTGCGGTTAATTGAAAAAAAGATCGCTCCACACGGTAGGAATAAAGTCATAGCCGCCAAAATCCAAAGATTTTCCCACCTAAGAGGCTATTGTTGGGTCACGTGGTTGAGCAGAATCAGGTCCGAAGTCCAATGAGGAAGGTCTGTAAGCCCAACCCAATAAGGGAGGTGACAGGCTTGTGGTGACATTAGGCGGTCGCTCGTAGACAAGTCAGGAGGACCGCCTGACATAAAGTAGTGATGGAGACAAGTTAACATCGATTAGGATCTGCCTCAGTACAAACAAAACCAAGCATTAATTATAGTCGTAGGCGATTCTGTATGAAATAAAGTAGCTTTAGGGCGCCTGACATTGCATTTAATGCCTTTAGTCGAGTGTAAATACCCCATAAGAACATTGATGATAAACTCAACCACTCGCTCTCTCTATACCTAACACATTTTCTATTCTCTCTCTAACTCAATCTTCGGGGGGTGTTCTGGGCGACCGCCCACAGACACTTGTTTCGCAGGGTTCAGACGCCTCGCTTGTGCTCTACACAAATCGCCTAGTACTTTCTAGGCTCAAACAGAGCCTCTTTCCGATTTTGTGTTGAATTTGCACGATAATTCCATCCTATCCTTTACTTTTTGAGTTATTGGGAGAAAATACCAGAAAATTCTAAAAATATCAAAGCTGCGTGACTTTGACAAAAGAACCTAACCTTTCACGAGCTCAGACTATTATAAGGAAGAATGGGGAACTTGAGAAAGATAAAGAAGAAAATCGACTCTTCCAGGAGGAAGGGGTCGACGACAAGAGGGAAGAGAGGGAGAGGGATTTCAGTTGATTTGAGAGAGAGATATATTGGTTTAGGGAATAATAGTTCTGTAATTGCTTCATGAGAAAAATCTCACTAACTACAGAATATATAGTCAGGTAAAAGTCGTTGATTGCTGGAAATTCTAAAGTAAAACGGTAAAAGAGAGGAAGGGAATAATAGATTATGGGAAAAGAAATAATTGTTGCCTCTAATATAAGTTTTTTCAAAGCGGGAGAGAGGGAGCAAGTGGTTAGCAAAACTTGGGGACTATGAACGCTAAAGACCATCAATTGACAGCCACCTCAGCTAGGTTGGGCTTGTCTCAACTTAAAAAGATCAATAATCCATTCTCTTTTGAACACGACGGCATGAGGCATCTTGATGAGAGAATAGTAGTTTCATTACAAATTCCACCATTAACCTTGGGGCGCGGGGAGGGGGGGGGGGGGGGGGGGGGGTTCAATCTCCAATGTAGAGTTAGTCAGGATTGGGAAGGGACTAAGGCTCCCTTGGGAGGCAGGTGATCGAAAAGTGATTCTGCTGACGGACTCGATCGACTACAACTAAGGCTCTCATATAGTTTACTACACCTCAACATTTTCACTATACGAAAGTAGCAGAGATACGAATTTTGCTAGCGTGGGATTGGCAGGTTCCCATCATGCATTTTTGCAAGGAAGCAAATGTTGTTGTTGACTATCTTGTTGACCTAGGGCATCATTGAATATCGTATCATTGCAGCACCAGATAACGTTCTATCCTACTGGTTGTACCACAATACTATAGGCGTTCAAACTAACCGTTTCGTTATTAAATAGAAGTTGGGGCGCTATTTAAGCGTCTTGTTTCTAAAAAACTAAAGAATAAGAGGATCACAAGGAGTCATGACAATTCAAATAGGCTACAATAGCAAAGGATTTATTTCAAATTCTTTATATATTTTTTAATATTTTAAAGATTTGTTTCATTAATATGATAAATTATTTCACTACCACCTCAACAACTACATTAATTATACTTCAATAATTTATTAGTGATAAATTAAATTCCAAAACTAAACTAATTGGTCCAACTCCAATCCTTATATATATCGTACAAATGAGAAACCAAACGAAAGCTAACCGAAAGGGGAAAACAACAGCAAGAGCAACAATGAAATATCGTCTAATCGCCAGCCATAAAAATATTTGTCATGCACTCCCGTGGTTTACACAGAGCTTTAAGTGGCTCAGCTTTAGGCATAACTATCCCAAGTCCTTCCTTCATATCTAATAGCCCTTCACCATTCCTTTTCCACTCAAAGCATTGTATCAAAGCTCCCAAAGCTGAACTCACCACACGGTTCGCCAGCCCGGACCCAGGGCATGACCTTCTTCCCACACCAAATGGCAAAAATTTGTAACCATCCGATTCCACTCCTATAATATGTCTCTCAGGCCAAAATCTTGCAGGGTCTTCCCAAATTAAGGGGTCTCTATGAATGGCCCATGCATTAACAAATAACATGGTCTGTTTCGGGATAGGATAACCTCCAATAATACAATCCTCCAAAGACTGATGTGGCATTAAAAGTGGCCCTGGTGGATAGAGTCGTAATGTCTCGTTAATGATACCCTGGAGGTACGAAAGTTTAGTGTAGTCGGATTCTTGTACTAGCTGATTGTGGCCAATTACAATGTCTAGTTCAGCTCTTGCCTTGTTAAGGATCTCGGGATGATTTAGTAGGAGTGATATCGCCCACTCTATTGTGCCTGCTGAGGTATCTGTACCGGCTAATATCATCGTCTACAAATACGTACAAAAGATCAAAATTTAAGAAATTTATTTGTAATTGTTTCTACATATATTCTAAAATTACTGGTGAACCATAGTGGGTAATACAAATATAATTAACATGTTTCGAAGCGTTTATGTACAAATCCTACATATTACTACTCGGAGTAGTAAACATTCATTTTTTCCAACGTGTCTGGAGCCTGGTTACACCACCTAATGTGCCGTAATTCCGCCAGTATTACCCAACCCTACTATCCCGCACAGCTAATTACCAGACTCTTCAACTCCCAAGAATTCTCTCCTTTATTTGGGTTTTAGCATGGTCTTGGAACTTGGAAGGATTGAAAATTTTCATTCAAAATAGATTTAAAAAAAAAATGCTAAATGAGTGTATGTGCTTGGTTCTTAAACTGAACGAGATTGGGGTAGAGTCCAAATAGACTAAAGTATATATTACTTTGCAAATAACAGTTAATGCAATTTTCCTGTAAAAAAGCAACAAAATTTAATAAAACTAAAGACTAAAGTTGGAATATATCAATTGTAGGCCAAATGAAATTGAACTTATTCTCAAGGGAAAAAAGAGTGACAAGAGTGAAGAAGACTTAATAAGTAAACATGACATTTTAATTTATCCAAACACCTGGGGTGAATTTTTCCCAAAAATTTGTTAGATTGTTTTCTTACTATAAAAAATGCGTAAAACTAGTAGAGCAGTACAAACTCATTTCATCTCGATAACATTTTTCAAAATTCGAGTTAATAAAGAAGGTGGTACCAAGTGACACCAGGGTGCTAACGAGTGTTGTGTGTGGTATGATATTTTCTTAACTCGAAATATATTGAAAATTATTATCGTTTTATAAATCACAACAATCCCGTTCCATATGTGAACTTTTGTGAAATCCAAATTAGAACGAAAAATATAAACCGATTAAAAAAAGTAGGGAAAATATTAAAAAAAACTCATTAATTCTTATTTCTTAGATTTGGCCTACTTATAACTAAGCGTCCAAATCTGTTTATGCAGGTGTGCATAACTAATCGTGTCCTGGCCTAGATTATACGACAAGAGAAATAGAACAATTGATCAGGAATTACTGTATCCATGAAAAGGTAAAAAACCAAAAGAAAATAATAATAATAACAGGCAAGTAATTACTCACCATAATCTGGCCTTTGATGATCTCATCGGTGTAGACTTGAGGTTCGGCTTCCTGCAAATTCAACATAGTATCGATCATCGTCTTCTCATTGCTACCTTCCCTCTCTCCATAACTACTCCGGTTCTCCTCAATCAAACGTTGGAAGAACTCATCGGTCCCTTTGTGAGCGGCCCACATCCTTCCCTCAAGCCCACTGAAATCCACCAACCTTAGCACCGGCAAGAAATCCACCGGATTCGTCGTCCCGCTCAGATCAAACGCCTCCCTTATCAACTTCTTGAATCTCTCCCCTTCCTCATCGTGACCGGCTTCGCCGAAATACCGCTTTCCGGCGACCATCCTCATCACGATGTTCATCGACAACCCCATCAGCCTCGACCGCATGTCTACCTCGCTAAAACCCGAACCCTCGCCGACCAGACCGTTGACCAGGCGCTTGACCTCGTCTTGGCGGACGTGGAGGAAGGAGTTGAGGCGGGCGGTGGAGAGGAGCTCGACGGTGGAGAGGCGGCGGAGGTTGCGCCAGTGCGCGCCGTACGGCGTGTGTCCCAAGGCGGTGCAGTTGTAGCCTATGATTTTCCAGCCCAGTAAACCGTGCGGCCGGTCGGCGAAGACGGCGCCGTTTTTGTTCAGGCATTCCTCGGCTAGAGCTGGGGATGAGACGACGATGGCGCGTCGGACGCCGAGAGTGAGGGAGAAGATGGGGCCGTACTTGTTGGAAAGGGTTTGCAATGTTCTGTGGATTGGTTCCTTGAGGAGATGGAGATGGCCGATGAACGGAAGCGACGGAGGGCTCGGCGGGGATTTTGAGCGGCGTCGTTTTGATGTCGAGGAGATCAGTAGGAATACTGAGGTGATGAGTGTTAAGAGGACGATTGTTGCTGGTAGGAAGTAGATAGCCATAATTCCTTCCATTTTGGTTCTTGCTCTTGTGAGTTGTGTAGTGGTTCTTGTTCTTGCTGGTAGGAAGTATATATAATTTTGAATGTATGATCCACGGATGGAATGGCCGACGGACTGGATGGCCGGCGGACGTGGCGGTTACTTTAATATGGGTCTATGTGAAAAATACATATAAGTGACAATTATAAATAATATTTTGGTGGAATAACTTAACATCCCTCATAATTTGCAAGATAAATATATTTTATAATTTATCAGAATATGAAAAATACATACTAAAACTTTCATTATAGTTTTTACTTTCATTATAATTTTTCTTACGTTGGATTAAGTTTATATGAATTTCTTACTAAGCCATGCAAGAACGGTCACATACAAAGGTAACAAAAATATACTACTACATTTAAACGGAGTTACAAATACTCAGCTACGTAATTGTCAAGAAAAAAATATGAGCCACACGGTGGCTTAATCTATATCTACACAATAAATACTTTTTTTTTCTTCACAATTACTTTTTTTTATTCATTAAAAAAACACTTGCTAGGATTCGAACCATGAACACTTTAAAGAAAAGCAAAGATCATAACCAATCACACTAGATACAATTGTTGTATTTTTTAAATTAAAAACATATAATCACAGAGAGTAAAAAACCCTTTGCCCATTTCAAATTCCCTGCTCTAGGAGCGTTTGTAGGAAGGGTAGAATAGGGAGTGCCAATTTTTTTCTTATTCCTCTGTGGAATGGGCCTACTTACCATACACATGCGAATTTAAATGGGTCCACGAGTGTCAATTTTTTTAAGTGCTTTTATTTCTCCGTGGTTGTAAAATATATATGAAAAAGAAAAAAAATACTTTTTATTGCTAAAAAGAAAAAAAATTAACAATAAACTAATGCATGGATTCTAATGGGCTAACCGTTAATCATAAAATAAAAGAGTTGAATGAGCCTGACCTACACTAGATTTGCCCATCAAATATAACAAATGAACATCATGGGTTTGCCATTCTAAAACAAGCTATTTTCTCTAGCATAATATATATTATGCTATTATTTTATATCTTAGTGGCTAAAATATATGTATTTTAAAGTTATTCAATGGTTCAACCTCGACCAACCCAATTAGTCCAATTTTTATCATTTCAAATATATATTATGTAATTATTTGATATCATAATGATTAAATTATAGTGTATATAACAGGGAATTGTTAGTAAAAAACTAAACAGAAAGATCTCTTTGGTTATTTTTAACATTAAAACGATCCTAAACATTTTCAGTTTCTTTTCAAAATTCTATAGTTTTATTCCCGAATCAGTGATGTGCAAATGGCGAATTGCAGTCATCTGTTTTCTTTCATTATTTTTTATTTTCAAATAGAAAGTTTAAAAGTAAAGAATAATTAGAGTTTGGCAGGGGTCGGTCAAACAGGCTGAATTTCAAGTTTTGGCCCGGTTTGATCAAGTCTAATTTATAATCACATGGTTCCCCGATACCCGATAAAAATCTCAATCCAAACCAGTTTGGCAGGTGAATCCGTGTTTACCACCAGTTTGGAACGGTGGATCCTATCCCAAATCGTGTTGTTCATTCTTGATTTCTTTATATTTTATCATGGCTTGGCAAAAAAGCAGAAAACACAATGATGACAAGATGAAAGTTTTATAAAGCAAATTAATCGGCCGCTAGCAACAATTGTGAGATCTCGTTTCCGAAAACCAGTAGGATAGGCGATTTTTTATTCGATTTTATTGAATTCGGTTTCTATAAAACTTACTCCACCTCATCATATTACCAGAAACAATATTGCTTCACAAGGTAACATGTACTTGATTTTGGTTCATAAGGCTGATTTTTTATTCTTTGCATCATTCATGTTTCTTTCCTACTAAAATTAACTATTATCATGTGTTTTAAAAAAAAAACTATAGAATAATAAACTATACACCCTATTACATTATCAAATTTCATACATCGCCTTCCTCCTGTCAAATGGCCCGGGTGGGGCCACATTAAATTAGGATATGTGTGGTCTCATATGAGCTGTCAAACAAATAATTCATCTTAACAAGTTCAAGATATATTATCTTTCTTGCAGCAGTACGTTTCTCAAGGTCAAGGAGTAACGAGTATACGAGGGAAAGCACATGGAAAATAGTTTTATTACTTTCTTAGCTATTGCTTAACCTTCTGCGAAGCCAAGAATGCATGAAAGCAATACCCTGTTTCTTCCCAATCTTTCCATGTGCAGTGATCCACTTGAAGATTGCTCTGTTTCTTCCCTATCTTTCCATGTGCAGTGATCCACTTGAAGATTGCTCCGATAATTAACTTCGGTTAATAGGAATATTTTGTTTGATATTTTTCATTTCAAAAGTTGATCAGAATTAATGCTAATTTGTAAAGAAAAGTACATGTTAGTTGTAATATCATTAGTTTAGAACCTGGAGGTTACAGGTTTAAATCGTTTAAGTAGTACCTTAATTACAAAATGAAACCTATATCACCCTTGTGAAAAAACAATCAGGGGATACACACATGTGGTGCTTCTCTCAGGGGTGTGCAATGGGTTACTCCACACCCGATCACATCGTACCAAATGGACGCTCGGATCAGACCCTATTGAACTTAATATAATATGATCTAGTCATTGGTCCCCAAGAATTTTATAAATAATAAAGAAAAATGACTCAAATTAACATTTGGACCAGACTGAATGCTCCGTTGGTCTAGTCCTTGGTCCTAAGATGTCTTTTTCAAAATTTCAAGAATTTGATTCTAACATGTCTTTTCAAGTTCTCATGAATTTTGTTTGGTCCGGTCTCATCCCACATGCTTTGTCCCACTCTCACCATAATTATAATGAAACAGAGATACAACAAACCACACCACAAATAGCATAAAGTGAACCAAAAATCTCACTAGGATACCAGAACATCACCACCACTAAATTCATAAACCGGGCGATTAGCATCAAAGCAAACTACAACACATGATTTCTATATGAAAAGTTCTCCTCTAGGATGTCCATATAAGAAAATGTTTGGTGGCACCTAATGAGTCACAACATCTAACACATGCATTTTTGCTTTCATTCACGTCATTTGGTGATTATACACGTAATTCGATACTTATCCATGCAAAAATTATTATTATTCACAAAAATGGAATCTGAAACCTTTTCTTTGTATTTTCCTCTAATAATTTGTATTGGCCACATTTTATGAAATTAACTTTGAATTTTCAATCTTTCTATACATATGTTGCGTACCTTTTATTTACTATTCCAATGAACAAATAGTGTATAAACTTAAGAGTTAGTTTGATTGTGCATCAATAGGGTTATCGCCTTATTGGTTATTCGGTTAGGTTAATTGAGTTACATGCTAGTTGGATTAGGGGTCATTCGGATTCGGATTCAGATTCATTCGATTACGAAATAGCATTTTTGGGTCAAAACAAATTGTAGACAAGTTCGTTTTAGGTTTATCGAGTTGCGAGATGTTCGTTATTAATAGAATAAATTAAATGAAAGATAAAATATTTTTATAATGAATAAATCAAAAAATAATAAACGAAGAAGGAAAAACTAAAAAATTACGGAACATTTTATAGACTAAATTGTTTCTTACAAATTCAAGTTTTGGATTTGAAAATTTTTACCTCCACTAAAGAAATCGACAATGCGGAATCGAACGAACACACGAGTTTTACGTGGCATCCTTGTTCGATGTGAACAGGACTAATCCACGGAGAGTGAAACCACTCTCAGGCTGATGATATCATTACGTTTATGAATGTTTTCTGAGAGAGTTAGGGTTCTCGGCCACTGATTACAATGACTATATATGAGAGAGTCCAACCCTTCTTCCTGTTACTTGGGCGGACGAATGAAATAGATGGACAATTACCATCTTTACTCCTAACTATCAAATATGGACAATCAAGGACTAAAGAGTAGTAATCGAGGACTCGTAACACACCCCCTCAAGCGAAGGAGTGAATGTCAATCATTCCTAGTTTGACACGGAGATGATGAAACCGGTCCACACTCAACCCTTTTGTGAATAGATCCACGGGTTGCTCAAAAGTGGCAATCTTGAAGGCAGAGATGTCACGGGAGAGAACGCGCTCACGCACGAAGTAATAGTCCATCTCCACATGCTTGGTGCGTTCATGAAACACCGGATTGGCAGCAATATGGAGAGCATCCTGATTGTCACAAAAGAGGGGAGTAGGAGCAGCCAGCTGAACCCCAAAGTCACGAAGGAGCCAATGAAGCCAGATGATCTCACTAACTGTAGTAGCCATAGAATGATACTCAACCTCTGCAGAAGACCGAGAAACAACAGATTGCTTCTTGGTACGTCAGGAGACAGGAGAAGACCCCAGGGTGATGAAATAACAAGTGGTCGAGCATCGAGTATTCGGGCAACCGCCCCAGTGGGCATCACAATAAGCTGTCAAGGTGAGAGAACCCGAGAATGAAAAGAACAAACCACGCCCTAGTGCGGACTTGAGATAACGGAGAACATGAAATGCAGCTTCAACATGAGCCTGAGTCGGTGCATGAACAGCCTGGCTGAGTATGTTAACCGCATAGCTAATGTCGGGACGAGTGACTGTGAGATACAACAAGCAACCAATCAGTCGATGATCAGCTGCAGGATCGGAAGCAGGATCGGAGGGAGAACGACCCAGTTGATGATTCTGCTCGATAGGCGTGGAACTGGGATGCGTAGCCTGAAGACCAGAGTCTGCCAAAATATCAAGAACATATTTACGCTGGTTGAGAACAATACCGGATGGTGACCGAGCAACTTCGATACCCAAAAAGTACCCCAGATCCTTAATGGTGAAGCGGTCATGGAGAAAGTCTTTAACATGTTGAATGAAGGAAAGATCTGTACCAGCCAGGATGACATCGTCGACATATATAGGAGCTACCACAAACACAGATGCCCGACGATAGATGAAAAGTGAATGATCGGCACGAATAGGAACAAAATGTAACTCCTATAATGCATGAGTGAATTTTGATACCAATTGCGCGAAGCCTGACGTAAACCATAGATGGATTTGCGCAATCGGCAAGATCAAGTGTCACCGGGTTTGGAAAAACCTTGAGGAACTTTCATGTAGACTTCCTCCGATTAATCGCCGTGCAGAAAGGCATTATTCACATCCAATTGATGAATGTGCCATCCTTTGATAGCTGCCACCGTTAGTAAACAACGGACAGTGACTAGTTTGGCGACAGGGGAAAACGTATCATGATAATCAATCCCTTCTATCTGGGTGTAGCCTTTAGCAACGAGACGAGCTTTAAACCTCTCAATAGAGCCATCGGGTTTGAACTTGATTTTATAAACCCACTTACAGTCGATAGCACGCATGCCAGGAGGTAGATACTCGAGTTTCCAGGTACCATTAGCTTCTTGAGCTTTGATTTCGGCAATCATGGCATTTTGCCAATGTTGATAACGTACGGCGTGATGAAAAAATTGAGGTTCCTTCATAAGGGTGACAACACCCACAAAAACTTGATGTGCCTTGGAAAACCGATGATTATGCACATAAGTTTCCAGTGGATAGGTCACAATGTTGGCCGAGGGAGGGGAAGGCTGGGGGTGGCCTGGAATATGGTACTCGAAACCTTGAAGACGGGCAGGAGGATGACTGACCCATGAAGTCTTGCGGACAAATGGTGCATGAGGCTGATCGGAAGTAGCGGTGCCGGCCGAATCAGCTGGAGTCATCACTACTGGTGAAGTCTGCTCAGCAGCGGGAGATGAAATGGCCTCAGGTGAGGAAGGCGGGGACGAGGAAGCCTCCTCGGGTGAGGGCGAATTGGAAGGAGGTGATGTCTGTGCTAAAGTTTCATGTCCTCCAAAAGGAACGTCTGTGAATGAAGGTAAGTCATCGTCTGCATCATGGAGATATGTGGGAAGTGAGGGTGAGTTTGGCAAGCAGCCACTTGAGTGGGAGTAAGCTCAGTCCGATAAGGAAAAATATGCTCAAGAAAGTGAACGTCGCGGGACGTATATATGCGTTTATGCTCTAAGTCATAAACCCGATATCCTCGCTGAGTCGCGGGGATAACCCAGAAGTACACCAGCTCGCCCCCTGTCACTGAATTTGTGTAACCCATAATGATTATCCCGAGCGTAAACCATGCAACCAAAACTACATAGATGAGAGTAAGACGAATCCTTATCAAACAAAATGTGATAGGGAGTGCGATTGCCGACAGTGACCAGAGACATGCGAATAATGAGATATGTTGCGGTTAACACGCACTCTCCCCAGAATCGGAGAGGTAGATTAGCATGAAAATGAAGAGCTCGCGCAGTGTCGAGCAAATGACGATGTTTCCTCTCGACAACACCGTTATGCTGTGGTGTATCAGTTCAGGAAGTCTGAAGAACTATCTCTTCTGCTTCATAATAATTGACTAACTCTGCAATAGCAAATTCAGGAGCATTATCCCCTTGGATGCGACAAACTCGTCTGCGGAATTGAGTCTTAACCATGTTACAAAAATAGATCAAATGACGACCAACATCTTATTTAAATTTGAGAAGAAACACCCAGACTGCTCGACTGAAATCATCAACAACTGTCAAGAAGAATCGAGCACCAGAGACAGAGGGAATTCGATAACTGCCCCAAACATCGATATGAATTAATTCAAAACAATCCTTGGTCTTAATAGAACTCAAAACAAAAGGAAACCGAGTATGTTTAGCACGGAGACAAGAATGACAAGGTTCCGAATGAGCAACAACAGGACTCGAAATAAACTTCTGCAGCAGAGTAGTCTTTGCCTCCGAGGGGTGGCCTAAGCGAGCATGCCACAAGGTCGAACTATCTGCTGCACGACGAAGTTGAAACTATATGACAAATCTTCGTATATTCTGTCATTTTTTCTCTTTTGACAGTTAAGGTGCATGTATTCATATATTTAACCATTTATCCTTTTGATCTTAGAATTAGAATTTAATTTAACATCATTATGTCATTGTGCAATCATCATTGACATTCTTATTTATGTTAAACATATATATAACCAGTAGGACTAGTATCTAGTACCGGTGATGACAAGTCTTAAGATATAAGAATTTGCTGAGATTTTTAACCTTCTAGCTAGGTACATATTAATATTAGTTGTCAGTAATAGTTATGTCATGATTTTATTTTTGTGTAGACTTTATCAACTTCAGTAGGACCGCCTGTTGGGGATCTTTTGGCATGAACCAGCAATGACCAGCAGTTCTGGTATATTTTGGCATGGACCAGCAATTGGGTTATATATTTTGGCATGGAATGCTATCGCACAATATTAGTGTATAGTTCTAGCCTCCTAGGTACCTAACTACTTGAGCATGAACTATGAATGTTTTACTATCTAATTAGGTGTAGCTGTATATAGCTACTTTTCGAAACATTGTAAATGTCGTAGTTGGAAACAGGTTTGGGTAATGATCTATTATGTTCGAGGATGTTGATATTAATGACATTATTATATTATTGTTCGTCCTATGAAGAAGAGTTCAGTTATTTTTATGTTTATATGTGAATTTGCATTTTGAAAAGAAAGCAGGGCACAATAAATAATCACAAATAAAGCCTAGGTGTTTCCAGGTGTTTCCTCCTGATCTCATTAAATTTATTCTTCAACTGCTCGGAGGCAGAGTATTTGTTGAACTTAATCTTCCACCCACTTGTGATGTTGGACCATCCCAATCTAGTGAAAGTTATAATATGTTTGTTTCCTATCTTTACTTGCTCGACCATCAAATATATGAAATATTCTACTACCTTATCAAGCCAAACCTCGTTTCCCTCAAGCATCGCAGTTATCATTGTTTTCGGCATCATTATCAGCAATTGCTTATCAAGCTACAATTCAAAACGAGATACGAGATCACCAACGGGTTGACATCAAACATGAAACAAAAGACTACAACAGATTCTCCAATCAAAACAATAATGCCACAAATCTATCACATTTGATTTTTTCACATAAACAATCACAAATATGACAAATATCTGCCTAGCCAAATTGAACACCTGTGTCTATTTCCATTAAACTTGGAGCGTAACAAAAAACATTATCAGAATCATCCTAAAATCATCAAATTCAACATCACAAGCAAGCATCTATTGAGTCGCTGCCAGGAAGAATAAGTACCTGGAATGGGTCGCTATCATGAGGAGGAAGATGTGCTGGTTGGAGCTTCTCTGCTGAGGAGGAATCCAGTAGGGGAAAGTGATATGGCATCGGCTAGAGCTTTTTTGCTGGAGTAAACGACCCCCAACTGGAGGAACAAGAGGCGGACGATGGAGTGGATTGGCGATCGGTCGTTGAAGTAGAGGAAAGTGCTTCGTCACCGGATGGTAGAGGAGGCGCAAAAATTTGGTCGACGACTGGAGGAGCATGCAATTTGTTTGGGGAAAGTAATTGGTCGCCGGGTGGTTAGCGGAGGAAGATGCATCGACTGGAGCTTCTCTTCTAGAGAAAATGACTGTTTGCAGGAGGAACAAGAGGCGGGCGCTAGAGTGGCTTGGAGATCCGACGTTGACTTGAAGAGAAAGAGGAATTGTGAGAGTGGTTGCTGGAGTGAAGTGGTTTCGACTACAGGACAAGGGAGAGTGATGCGTCTGCTAGGGTTTGCAGGCCAAAACGAAAACTTTTCCCGCGTGTTGAACTTCCAACTCAAAAAGCGGGGAAATTGGAGATGGGGGAAATTTGAACCCTACGCTCATTAACATACAGTGCCATTTTTCAGCTATGCACTAGGGGAAACTCGTCATCCTATTTCTAATAAAAGATCTATTGTTGTTTTTCCACAACTGCCACATTATTGACAAATGGTTTTATCAAATAAAAACGAAATGACAAGTGAACATATTTTTTTTATCTGTGTTTCCGGATTGAAGTTATGGCAATGAAACAGAAAATAAAATGGCAAGTGAATAGGACATAAATGCATCCTTAGCGACCGCTAGAGTGGATTGGAGATCCATCATCGACTGGAAGAGAAAGAGGGGAAGAGCTTCTTCGTCTTTTGAATTAGGAGAGCGACTACTGGGCATAAGACATTCTTTGTAATTGGCTTACTGATAGTGAATATAATAGTATGTTTCGTTTCAGAAAGTAAAATTAAAAAAGAGATCAAAATCATATTGTTGATTTGTTATCATTGACACATTTAAAAGTAAAGGTTTGAAGACAAAATCAAAAGGAAGGGTAACAATGAGTTGCAAAAGATATCGAGGTACGATTTTCATATCATAGTGTACCACAAATATCATTCATAAACTTTCGAGTTTTACAGTAAGCATCAAGTGGCTTCACCTTAGGCATAGTTAGCCCTTGTCCTTCTGACATATCCAACAACTCTTCACTAGATCTTCTCCATTCAAAGCATTGAATCAAAGCACTCAAAGCCAAGCTCACTACCCGATTTGCAAGCCCCGCGCCAGGGCAAGACCTTCTTCCCGTACCAAATGGCAACAATTTGTAGGGTCCAACCTCCTCTCCTTCATATCTCTCGGGCCAAAACCGCGCAGGATCTTCCCATACTGTGGGATCCCTTTGAATAGCCCACACATTGACCATTAACATTGTTCCTTTAGGAACGTGATAGCCTCCAATTGTGCAATCCTCCGAGGATTTGTGTGGCACCAAGGTTGGTGCTGGGGGATATAGACGTAGCGTCTCATTGATGATGCACTCAATGTATGGAAGTTTAGGGTGATCAGATTCATCTACTAGTCGGCCCTTGCCGACAATATTGTCTATCTCAGCTCTTGCTCTGTCGAGAATCTCTGGGTGATTTAGTAAAAGCGCCATAGCCCATTCTATCGTGGACGCTGATGTGTCTGTACCGGCTAGTATCATTGTCTACACATATGCAAAAGATTCCAGAAATTAAATTTACCATAGGTGATAAATAATCATCTCAGCAAAATTACGTATCCAAAATTAAACTTACCATCACGTGGCCTTTGATGATTTCGTCGGTGTAGATTTCAGGTTCAGATTCTTGCAAAGACAACATAGTATCGATCATCGTCTGCCTGTCATCATGACCTTCCACCGCCGCTTTACTACCCCGATGCTCGTCAATCAAACGTTGGAAGAAAGCGTCCATCTTGGCGTGAACTCCACGCATCCTCTTCTCCAGCCGGCGGAAATCAACCCACTTCAACGCCGGCAAGAAATCCGCCGGATTCGCCGTTCCGCCGGCCAGCTCAAACACATCGCTTATCAATTCCTTGAACTTCTCCCCTTCTTCGCCGCCTTCTCCGCCTTCTGTCTCGAAGTATCTCTTCCCCGCCACCATCCGCATCAACATGTTCATCGAGAGACCCGCCAGCCTCGACCGCATCTCCACCTTGGCGAAACCCGACCCGACCTCGTTGACCAGGCCGCTGACCATGCGGTGGACCTCGTCGTGACGGACCTCGGTGAAGGAGTTGAGGCGGGCGGTGGAGAGGAGCTCGACGGCGGAGATGCGGCGGAGGTTGCGCCAGTGGGGGCCGTACGGCGCGGATCCCATGACGGTGTAGCTGTAGCCGAGGATTTCCCACGCCAGGAAATTTTCGGGGCGGTTGGCGAAGACGACGTCGTTTTTGTTGAGGCATTCCTCGGCTAAGGATGGGGATGAAACGACGATCGCGTTTCGGACTCCCAAGGTGAGGGAGTAAATGGGTCCGTACTTGTTTGAGAGGTTTTGTAGAGCTCGGTGGACTGGTGGTTTGAGGAGATGGAGGTGGCCGATGAATGGGAGCGCCGGCGGGCTCGGCGGCAGGTTTTTGCGAGGCTTTTTCGACGTCGAGGAAATCAGGAAGAAGACTGGGATGGCGACGGTGAGGAATAGGATTGTTGTGGGTAGGAGGTAGAGTGTCACAAGTGCCTCCATCTGGTTTCCAGATCTTGTGATTCCGTTGGAGAGATAGTTAGATGAACCCGTGGTGGAGATATATATGATATTATTATAGTATTTTTCTGCAGTGGTTGATTGTTGACCGTTCATATATGAGAGACCCTACACGTTTATTTATTTCACACCATATACGGCGCCATAGAAGATGATGGTCGGGCAGACGAGTGGCGCAAAAGGCATTTACTGACTAATATATAGCCGGTTACTATCTACACATCCTCCTATAATATATAGCCGTTCTCCAGCTAATTTTCTCCATTTTGAAATCCTTGGCCTCTCCTTCATTGTCGCTAGGGGCAATTGTGGAAAGAAAATTATTCCACTTTCGAGCTTATTTTATTATTTGGGAAATCAGTACACACGTCCCAGCAACTACTCAAAAAAAATGTCAATACCAAGACTTGAACTCGAGTCCTTCAAATTGTCAGTCAATATCCCTAACCAACTGGACTACAACAATGTTTATGCATTTTTTGAATTAAAGAGACAAAATACTGAAATATCTCAAAATCATAGGACTATCCACCGCAACAATCAATCATAGAATTAATTAATAATTGTAATTATTTACAAAGTGAATCATCATTAGCTTTATGAATCAACTAAGTGAGTTCCTCTAATCACACAATTCTTCACCAAGAATCAAATAGTACATTTCGAGTTTATGTATGTCTTACAACTTTTACATTTATTAGGTTACAAGACTTTGCAGTTTGTAGGAATACAAGGATTGTTTACAAAAGTGCTATACAAAATTTTATTTCAAAACATAAAATTTGACATTTGTGATCTATGATTTTGTAACGAGACATTTTCAATGCTACAAGTGAATGACCAAAAATCATTGGCTAACAATTTCCCTAATGGTTGAGAATTATGAGCATAGAATTGAAAGACTAAATACCATTGACAAATGAGCCAATTATCATTGGCTAAATTTAACAAACAATGGTATGTGTATATACATTGGGAATTATATGGTACGCTCGATGGATTGAGGGTTATTGCATCTCCTTAGTTAAATAACATTATCTGGACCATAGATTAATCACGTAACTAAACCCTATATCATAATTCTCTAAATCCTAATATAGTGCATATGATATGTTGTATACATCTTGGCGAATCGGAATCATTGATTATGTTCTTAGTATATGTGATATTAGGGTTTAAGTTCTATAGGTTTAGAGTATATGATTTAATTATTTGAAACTTAATCTCCCTTTTCCAATTTGCTGCAATGAGAACGAAATTAGGAAGGACATTTTTGTCTTCACAATTATCTGTATTTTTTTTATTTATTTACAGAAAAAGATAGACATATTGAGATTTGAACCATGGTCACTTCAAACAAAGTAAAGGTTTAAAATCAATCAGACTATGTAGATTTGTTGTATTTTTTTTAAATTAAAAATATATACGAATCTAAAATATGAAATCACAAAACTTTTTAACATTTAGCTAGCCCAATAAATATTCCGTAAGTACTTATTTGGTGTTTTCACTGTTTGATACTTAAATTTTGATATTTTTATTTAATTATAGTTTAATACTTAATTTAAATTTTATCTATATTATAAATAGACAATAACCATAAATTTGCAACCAAAATATTGTTGGTTCCAATATTTCATATCGAATTATAGTATTGAATATGTAGAAGCGATATAGAATTCTTAAATTATCATTAATTTCCATAACTATAGTGAAGCAATCATATCTTTATGCAAACTATAGGAGACCGGTTCTCTAAACATTTTTGTCCGGATAAATACTAAGTTTTGAAACTCTTCCTAGGGGTGTGCGTGGGTTGGTTCATTCGGGTTTAGATATTTTAATCACCTAACTCATATCCCACGATTTTGAAAACACTAAATACAAACTTACCCAAATAATTTAGAATTTTAACGGTTTGTGTCCTCCATACCAAATGACCAATTTACATGTCGCTTAACTAAGGACGATCTCATTGTCCAATCCCATCATTCTAATGTCAATCCATAAAAGTAACCCATATTCGCGTTTGTTAACACATGTTTCACATTGTCATTACTGTGACCGGTAACTTCGCTGCAACTGATTCGGTATTGCTCTTCATATGGCCTCCAAACTGATAAACATATGGGGCCAACAATTTTATGACAAAACTCAAAGTGAAGACAACTCATCGTCTGGTGGAATTTTGGCGTTTGCTGGTGTCCATTAATCTAATTGCAAGCATAATGATTGCTAAAATTAAGCTTTCACTCAACACACTGGGAGTTGGGGGTGCGTACTTGGAGTAAAAGTTGATATTGGGTTTGGGAAGGGATTAAGGGAAGTGGTGAGGGGAAGAAATTGTGTTTGGATTTGGTAGCAGGTAAAGTTCATGGTTCAGTTTCTTTTCGTAAAATGCTTTGATTAATTTAGTTAGAGGTATAATATCATGGTTATGCGGGATCAAATGAACCAAAAATGAGCTTGGGGATGGGAATTCCAACTTAGAAGGAGTGGATTAGATTTTGATAAACTCAAGTTCATGTTAACTGAAAGAATATTTAGATTTAGACTTGGTGGTATTGAGATGTTCATAGAGAGTCTAAAACTGATCCAAGGCCATGGATTGATATTGGTTAGTTGATTGTGATTTTGAGGAAGGTCTATAAAAGTCATGGAAGTAGTTTGCAACAAGTGAAGGCAGTGAAGAGGCAGTTGGTCAGGGTAGTGATTGAACCAAAGAGGGTATTGAAAGACATAGAAGCAAAATCGGAGCAGTTGAAGAGAGAGAAGTGGTAGATGATCAGGATATTAATGAAAATGGAGAGGGTATTGAAGGGCATGGAAGTGAACTGGATCAGGTGAAGGCATAGAAGGAGGAGAAAAGCATATTGATGATATTGAAGATGAGTGTCGGTTTTACGAGCTTATTAAAACTGGCCCGAGGAAGATGAGTTGGCCAAATACAAGAAAGAGGAATTAGGAGTTGGAGATCAAACTGACAATAAACTCAATTGAAAGAGAAATTCAGGTTCATGGAGAGAAGGTCCATCAAAGTAGCATAAATGGAGTTGTAGAAGGAGGATTAAAAATTGATTTTTGGTTTAAAACATATACGTCGAGAGATTGAAGATGGAGGGGATAAAAAGTTGGTTGTACAACGGAGAGTAGAAACTATTGGATCTTTAGGTGTTATGGTTGTTGCAACTACCACAACCTATGTTTATGTTAAAACGAGGAATCATTGATTGATTTACTAAAGTTAAGGTCGAGCACTATTCAAACTACTGGAACCTGTAAATAAGGAGTGTCTAAATTTGTGCTCATTACTTTGATCGAGTCTATTAGCATATTGGATGTAACTCTAATTTTGTCATTTGCTTTCAAGTTTTGATGGTTTCCTTTTAGTTGAGTTGTTAGCATATGATTTACTTGAATCAACAACTCTTCATTTCTTTTTTTTTTTATTATTATAAATCCATTTCCTTTTTATTAGTGGCATGTTATTCATAGAGGAGAGCTTTGAACAATTTATGTGGGATTGTGAGGTTTCATTTCAGTTTCAAACTATCTATGGATCGTGTGAGAATTACAATGAGCTTTTATATTATATATTTCTGGACAATCTATTAAGCAATATCATTTTAATGGGGGCTCAATTATCATTATGAAAATGGGATTAATGATACATTTTTATATTCTTAAATGAGGAGGGTATTTTCCTGAATATTCGACCTATATATTCATTCTTTGTGTAGAATCTCGATTGAATAATTTTCAATAAACTTAAACAAATTAATAGACTTAAACGTAACATAAAAAATTTAAATATCAAAATATAAACATTCCGGCCAACGGGCCGGATTATAAGCTAGTAATATAATACACCGAAGGAAAAAACCGGAGCCCCATTTCAAATTTCCTGCAACGAGAGTGAAAGTAGGAAGGACATTTTGGTCTTCACAATTACTTTTTTATTCATTAAAAAAGTATGTATTGGGATTCGAACCATGACCATTTTAAAGAAAGGCAAGGATCATAACCAATCACACTAAGTACATTTGTTGTATTCTTTTAAATTAAAAACATATAATAGCAGGGTGGAAAAAACTCTTCCCCCATTTCAAATTCCCTGTTCCATGAGCGTTTGTCGGAAGGGTAAAATAGGGAGTGTCAATTTTTTTCTCTTTCCTCTATGGAACGTGCTAACTTACCGTACACATGCGGATTTAAACGAGTCCAGGAGTGTCAATTTTTTTCTTTATACCCTTTTATTTATCCGTGGTGATAAAATATATATGAAAAGGCAAAAATAATACTCCTTTTTATTGTTAAAAATAAAAAATTTAACAATAGACTAATGCATGGTATCTAATGGGCTAACCGCTAACCATAAAATAAAAGAGTTGAATGGGCCTGATCTACATGGGATTTGGTCATCAAGTAAAACAAATGAACATCATGGGTTTGCCATTCTAAAACAAGCTATTTTCTCTGGCATAATATATATTATGCTATTATTTTATATCTTAGTGGCTAAAATATAATGTATTTTAAATTTATTCAATGGTTCAAGCTCGACCAACCCAATTAGTCCAATTTTTATCATTTCAAATATATATTTTATAATTATTTGACATCATAAGGATCAAATTATAGTGTATTTTATAGGGAATCGTTTGGTATTTGTTAGTAAAAAACTAAACATAAAAATCTATTTGGTTATTTTAAACATTAAAACGATCCTCAACATTTTCAGTTCCTTTTGAATTTATATGGTTTTATTCCCGAATAAGTGATGTGCAAATGGCGAATTGTAGTCGTCTTTTTTCTTTCACTATTTTTTTATTTTCAAATAGAAAGTTTAAAACTAAAGAATAATTAGAATTTGGCATGGGTCGGTCAAACAGGTTGAATTTCAAGTTTTGGCCCATTTGTTTTATGCATTGCAAATTTATTAGCATGTTGATGGAAATGGCTTGGAAAAAAGACATATAAGT